GATGAAGATTTTATTCCATTACGTTTAATTGAAATTATCCAATATATAGTATTGTTTATGGTCATTTTCAAGTAAAAAATAATACTTAAAAGAATGAGGATCCGTGCTAATGGCTAAAAGTAGGAACTTTATTTTTTTTGACCTCGTATTGAATTAGGATTTGATTTTTATTGTCTTTGTTGATGTCAAGTCTTTAACAATAATTGATGAAATTAAATAATTTCGACCAAGCTGAATGATCCTAGAGAAATCAGTGTCATTTCAACCTCAAAAGGTCTTTTTAGTAATTAATTTCATGATTTATTAAATTATGTATTTCAATTCAATGTATACTTGAGAAATTGAAAAATATTTTTCCTCTTATTTCTTATTGGATGTCTCTTAATCTATCAAAACACTAAAAAAGTTACTATTTCTGTCATTTAGTATTAATATAAAAAAAAAACAAAATAATCTTGAATAATTTATTTTTAAAAATTAATTTTCTAGTAATGCTTTTAATATTTTATTCAATACTTTTGGAACAATAAAGAAATAGTTAGCAGATGCATTTATATTCTAAGTAAAAAGAAAGAAAAGGGGGAAAAAGAAATATTATCACACACCGTTTGTTTTTTACCTGAACTCTTAAATGTTCTATTTATAAATTTGGCATGAAAAATTATAATTTGGAACTAAAAAATATATTAATTATGTTCGAGAGATATCTTTTGTTAATTTATTTGGTAGATTAAATATCTATTTAATAGATATTTGAAGGGAATTTCGAAATTGATGTAGATTTTTGTTAAAACCATTACGTAGAATTTGATTTCAATTAAAATTATTAACGAAAAACTAATAACATCGACCAAAATATTTCGTACAAAATTTAGAAACTAAAATGAATTACTGAAAAATTCAGAATCATAATAAAAAATCTAAGAGCTTAAAAATCAAAACAAATTAAGTATAAAAATTAATTATCAAAACAGTATTTAAAACCCCCAAAGGAGATTGAATATTTCTAACTGCATTCAATTTTTTTTAAAACAGTATTTACCCGTACTTTCAATTTTTAAATACAATTTTTTCTAGTCCAAGATGTTAAGGTTAGAGAATTCGAACTCACAACCTTTTGATCGGATATAAATACCTTAACCCATTGAGCTATTCTCAGGTTTATCATTTTAACATAAATTTATAACTACATTTCAACAAATAAATATAAGTACCATTATTGCTAAATTTATGATCAAAAGAAATGAGATAAAAATTAAATGACCAAAATAGTCACTTTATAAACCATCATGGGTGGCTCATTGGTCCAACACGACTAAAGTTAATTAAGAGGGATGGGTTCAAACTCAAGGATAGCCACCTACCTTAGGAATTAGTAATTTCTATGTGTTTCCCGACATCAAATATTATAGAGTCAGGCAGTTGCTCCATAAGATTATTCGAAATGTGCATAAGCATCGAGAAAAAAAACATCACTTTATAAAAGTATATAGACCAAAATAGTATTTAAAAGAATAATATTTCATCATTGAATTATTACTCACTTTCCAAACAAGCTCTGAATAGCAGGAAGTCAATGTCAACAAACAATTAATTCCATTTCTAATAAGTGAATAATTATATTTCCCATGCACGAGTGAAGGGAATGTCAAAGTTGATCACTTTTTGTGCTCCCTTTAGCTCCCCACGAGTGCTATGATTGATTATTCCCACTTCTGTTCTAAGTTTTCTAATCAATAAAAGAAGAGAGAGAGAGAAATGGAAGTATATAGTAAGATGAATGAAGCTTTTGCATTATGAATAAGAGGCTACTACAGCAATTTTTTTACCAGCAAAATAATTTCTGGTTCTTTTTTTTTTCTCTTTTATTGATACAGAGACAACAAACAAACAACATACAGAAACCAAACATTTTCAACTTTTGCACACAATAAACAATTCAAAGTCCTACCCCCACCCATCATTATTCTCTCTCTCTAACCTACAAGTATCATCACCTATTCAAGAAATAAAGAAAGATATACATAATATATGTATATAGACAGATTCCAATTCCAATTCCCATTAAGTTGTATCAAAATCAAGAGCTGAAGGATCTGACCTTTTGTGAGATGATATGAGACTTCACTGGTTGTCTGTTCTCAGCTAGCTACTGCCATTTGATTGCTGTTGTTGTTGGCTACAATCTGGTAGTCTTCGTCCTCGTTTTCTTCTTCGTCTTCTTCGCGTTCGTCTTCTTGATTCTGATCGGCGTTCTCAGGTTCGCCATCGTCCGTTGCTGACTCAGGTTGCTGGTGGCATTCCTCTTGGCCGCCCATCATGTGCATCAACAGCTCCTCGGGTTTTAGTTCATAATTGGGATTGGCTGAGTTGTTGTTGGTGGTGTTTGCGACTTTCTTGGATTTCTCTTTGTACAAAGCGTCGAGCTGCTGGAAGTACGGGCAGGTCTTCGAGTCCTCAGGTCGTTTTTTGTTGCTTTCCTTAACTCTTTTGAAGTATTTGTTGATGTTCTCCCATTTTTCCTTGCACCTCTTTGCATTTCTGTCATACCCAAGTTTCTTCATGGCTAGTGATATTTCCTCCCAGAGAGGACCTTTAGGCCCATTCTCTTGGTACTTCATCTGTAGATTAGTCCTGAGCTGAATCAGAGCATCGATCTCTTCTTTCGGCCATCGAGACGAACTAATCTGATTCGAATTTCCATTGTTGCTGTTTTCTTGATTGCTGGTGTTTCTGTCAACATTACCATCATCTTGCTTGTCCATAAAATGCTCCATTAAAATCGAGCTCTCCGGAAACTGCACTGCGCCCACCTGTTCAGAGAACATCTTCAAGAATGAAAGAACGGCTGCGTCTTTTGCAGCAGCAATTGATCTTTCGTGATTTAAACGCTCTCGCTCTTTCTTGATTCGAGCTAATTCTTGCATCTTCCATTCTTCTTCTCTAGCTAACCTCTCTTGTTCACATTTCTCCAATGCCTCCACAAACTTCTTTTGCAATTTCTCCTGCTTCTCAATCACCTCATTCATCAATCTCTCAAAGAACTCCACAAACTTCCTCTTCTTCTTCATCGTCCCACCCGACTCTTTGCTCGAGCAAGACGTCGCGGAAGTCGATATCGAGGTCGTCGTCGTATCAACAAAATTCGAACCCGGATTTACAACCGAACATGGAATTGCATTGTGAACAATATTGTTTGGGATAATCCTTGGCATTTCTTCCATTGAGTCAGCTTGAGAGGGCAGCAATGGATGATTATCTAGAGCCTCTAATTGCTCAAAATACCTATAATTTTTCCCATTCGCTTTTCCTGATCGGCTATCTTTAGTCCTTTTGTGATACTTGTAAATGTTCTCAAACTTCTCTTTGCATTTTTTAGCACTTCGATTATACCCAAGCTCAGCCAAATTCCTAACAAACAAAAAAATTCAGTTCCAAAACTCCATAGCTTCGATTCAAAAAATTCAATCGAGAAACAAGAAACTCGAAATTGGAAGAGCATAGAATATCATAAGTAATCGACAAGAACTAGGCTACAAGCGGATAATAAATCAGGAACCAGATAATTTTCCGGAAAATTGATCAATAGAAGTGAAAATCCGATTACAGCAGAAACCAATCGAATAGAGAATGATCAATTTTCAGTTCACGAACTCACAAACCACGATTCTCCCAAATTTTCTCGGTAAACAAACAGAAAATATCACAGAAAGAGAGAAATCAATCTTCGATTTGAACTGACCTGGAAACTTCTTCCCATAGAGGAGCTTTAAGGCTTGCATCTCTAAACGCAGTGTCCATACTCGACCTTACCTTCAGCAACGCCATAGTCTCCTCCCGCGGCCACCGGTTACCGGCCCAGCTCCGGTCAGCCTCCTCCGCAAGTCCGACGGAGCCCCCCGCAGCGTCCTCCTCGGCGGCGGCGGCAGAGTTCTCCGGCGAAGCCGAATTTTCCAGCATCAGTTACAGGAAATTTACAGCTTCCGAAAAAAGATTAATAATGGATAAACAGGAACCAACAAAGTATGTAATCCGTGGGGGTTGAAAAGAAAAGAAAAGTGATGTAAATAAAAAATTCTAGGGTTCTGTGAAGATGTCGGTAAAGGGTAAATTCGAGGAGGAGGATTTTAAGAGGTGGGATTCCATAGCTCACTCGTAGCTTCAAGCTTCGTGTCCGCCATTAATTTTCCTTCCTTTCCTTCCATTTCATTGGCTCCACTCAATAACCCAAGCTAAAATTTTAACTTTATAAACGACAAGTGGTGAATTAGGGTTTTTTTTTTTTTTTTTATATATTTTGAGTAAAATTATACAAAATAAAATATGTTCAATTAATTTCAAATTTCACTTAAAACTTTTTTTATTACCGACAAACGTAGAGTATGGAGATTTGTAGCTCGATAAAATTGAAGAGATTAAAACAAAATAGATATTAATGTAAAAATAATTTAAAACGATAACAGAAATTTTACAAAATAATATAAATTTAATGTAGTTTTAAAATTTTCACCATTGTTCCTTTTTTTCTAAGTATAAGTGCTATTTTTTGTAAAATTTTAGATTTTCTGTTATATTTTTATTTTTATTTTATGCAATATATATAAATATAAATACTTTTTAAAAAAGATTGTCATTCTGATTTTTCTTTTTTTATACCATTGTCCCTCTTTTTTTTTAATATGAAACTGAAGAAACGATTTTGAATATATATATATATATATATATATATATATATATATATTTATTTATTTATTTATTTATTTATTTAGAAGATTTCTCTTAAATGTGATGCCTTTATGGAATAAAAATTCGACTCATTTTTTTTATTATTATTATTATTATTATTATTTTGGAAAGAGATATCGATAATATTTAAGATAAATTTGAAAAAAGAAAAAAAGATGATAAAGAAAGAAATAAAGTAAGAGCACTACCATTTTGAGGGGTGCCCCCGTAACTACCCAAATAAATAAATAACAGTTGTCAATTTTATTTTATTTTATTTTTGGTTAAATATAATTTTTTATTTTTAAACGTTTGCATTTACATCAATTTTGGTTCCTTTCTTTTAGAACCCTTTAATTTAATTTATTAATTTCTTCTAGTTCCTTGTTTTTTATCAATATTAAAAACATTTTGATATATACTAATTAGTATCATTCAAATTGAATAATTTTAGAGATAAAATTAAAAAATTAACTTAAAGGAAAATTGAAACAATTCTATAGAGATGAAAGTAATATTAATTTTTTTTTATTATAATTATGAAGAAAAAAGTTTAAGAAAAAATGTTGGAGTTGTGGTCAAGTGTGAACAAGTACAGCTGTGGTGATTTGAAATGTCAAATGTTGATTGGTGGATATTTATTTAATGGGCTACAATTTGCCTTTTGACTTTAGCTAGAGTGGATCCAAAATCATCGAGGTGTGACTTGCGGTCAAAATCAAGAAATTAAATACCGATATTGATAGAAATAAAATATTCAATGGACCCGAACATGGTTAAACGGTTAAGATAACTTTTTTCCTTTTTGTAATACAAATATTATGGGGAGATTTAAGCCCATGATCTTTTTGTCATAAATTGTTAAGGTAGGATTCTACCGAGCTATCGAAGTCAGCCACTTGACAACTAGACGAGCTGACAAAGTGCGACTTTAAACAAAGTAGGACTTGCAAAAAGGGTACAAACACTCTGATGCTAAAGTCAGTACGGCATGAGCTTAAGTAGACCATTATTTGAGCATAATCGCATACCTGAATGAGTTGGGGGCGCCTCTTCGATAGGCAGCGGTGCAGGGGAGAGGACTGCTCTGACTAGCAGTTACGGGGTATCGGGCCCCATGTCGAAGTCCTTGATTTATGATCTTTAGCTCGGTCCTAAGGATAGGTCTGCCTTCTCCATTAAGTTAGTTTGACGAACCTGGTCATTTCAGGCTAACTTGACTAGTCCACGTGTCATGTTGTACTTTTCCCTCCAACAAAAATAAATGGGTTGAGTTAAGCTCAGGTTGGCGGTTAAAACGATAATTCTGTTTATGAAATTCAAAATTTTTGGATGAAATTCAAATTTTTGCATAAAATTTAGGTGTTTACGGGTAAGTTACCATCATTAAAAATTTTACAGTTATTTATTCTATTTTCTCTCCCTTCTTTTATTCATTCATCTTTCTAAGTTGTAAATCTTTTCAACGGTGGTAAGCAAAAGATACCTACTTATCTGTAAATACTTAAGTTTTATTCTATTTTTTAAGATATTTTTATAATCTATATTATTATTTGAAAAGTAAAAGAATTAATGATAACAATATTGCAATAAGTATATAACATTTTTAAAATATGATATGTATTATTTTTTTCTATTGTTGATGTTTATCTTTATGATGCTAATACTTTTTAAAATATTTTACGGTATATCATAGATATTGACTCTTTAAATTACTCAATTTGTGGAAATGGATGACAAGACTCAAGAGGAATGTGTATAATGATTGAGGGTAAAATGGGGAAATTGATACTTTTAGAGGGAAGATTTAGATTAGTCAACTAATACTTATCATTTAAAATTGGTAATAAAAGATGTCGTAGAATTTTCCCCTTATTTATTTATTTATTATTATTATTTTTTTTTTGGGGCTGATGGGCCCACACAGCCCATCTTTCACTCTTGGTCGTTCGTGCTTTCCCACTTGATACGGCTCTCATTGGAAAACGATTTTACGTTTTTACCCCTATACTATTACTTTGTTTTTCTTCAAAAAAATATTTTTCGCCTGATTTATGTCGGCATTAAAAAAAAACTATATTGTAATAATTAATTGGTAAACAATCTGTAATATTTAAGGTAAATTCTAATTTAGTTTTTAATATGTTCAAATTCTCAAATATACTTTTGATGTATTAAAAAAATTTTAATAAGTCCTTTTTTAAGTAAAACAAAATCATAACATGTAGAAATTTGGCCTCCTGTAATTCCGTCAAATATGCATCAATCTTCTAAGATAAAAGGGATCGACAAGACCTGCAAAACATAGTAGCACTTACCGGTGTGGTTCTTGTCAGGCTCCGATGCTTAAGTCAGAATTGGAATAGTCGAGTATGGAAAGTAAAGGTATTTCGGCATAGAAAATAGTAGAGATTTGTAGCATAGCAAATAGTAGGGACTTGTAGCGTACTTTCATTATGAGTATTTACCTTCTATGTATCGAATCTCAATCCTTTTACGATTAGAAGTCGAATCCTAATGTGCTCAAGAGATCTGAACTCCTGGACCCGTGTGTTTCGTCGTGGGCCTAATGTTCAATCGAGGGTCGAGACAAGATAGCTTCGGGTCGGGTTGCACAGAGGTCGAGAGAGAATCGCCAAGATTCTCGACCGATGGTCGAGAACTCCTCAGCATCGAGACCTGGTCGGTCGTGGTCGACCCAGGCAGTTGGGTTCCGAGTTACTTGGTTTGTGCGTAAGGTTGTATCCAACCCTTTGGAAAACTTATTGCGCAGCCACTCTCTTCGCGATGCCACGAAGCAACAATCTCTAGTATTTGTGAAATGTAGTTACAAATTTCTATTACATCTTCATCGTTACGATGAGATCATTAAACTATTGTTATATTGACATAGTGGACAGGTGGACATATCACTTGAGTACTGTGTAACACAAAATATAATGTGTAAGAAAATTTCACATCGACAAAATTTGTTTATTCTAAATATTGTGTCCACATATCTAAATATGTTAATAAAATAAAAATGTCATCTGACTCCAGTTTCATGTTAACAAATTTTGACTTTTTTTTAATCTTTTGGAATCAACTAAATGATAATTTTTAATATACTGGGAGTTTGAGCTCGTTTACTGCTACATCTAGTAATGGCACCAGGCATGGCACCAGGCAAGGGCACCGCTATGCCCTGCAACTGCGACCTTCATTTGATTCTGACGGCGGTCATAGATCTCATGAGACCCGCCCACTATTACGACGAAAAAACCTTACCCTTTTCGTTTGCTACTAGAAGAGTCCGCTAATTCTATTAGCGTCGACCTTGAGTCGAATTAATCGTGTATCAAGTGCAACATCCATCAATGATGGTTCATTAATGTCCATTGATTTAGACTCCTTTCCCCTTCATAACTACGAATAAAATCGAGAGGAGCCAGACCAAGAATGAAAACGGATTAGATTCACTCTCGTTGGATAACCATTTTGTTTTCTGTTTTTGGGTTTTGTTTTTTAAAAACGGTTTTGAAATTCTATATAAATTTTTTAAAAAAAGTAAAAAAAATTTCTATTTTTCAAAATCTCATTTTTCTTTTTAATACTCATTTTTTCTTTTCTTTGTAAATATTTATCTCTAAAAAATTTCTTTGTCACTCTAAATTCTTCGTAAGTTTATCTCTAAACTTTTTTTTTCTCCCCTAAAATTTTAATATTTTAAATATTTATTATTATTTTTCTTCCTCTTCAAATTTATGGTTGTATTTTGTCTGATAGATCCCTATTCTCTCTAAAAATAATATTTTTCCAAACTTTTCTCTCTCTAAAATTTCGTCTTTTATAATTTTTTTCTTCCTAATCTATTTTTTCTCTGCATTTTTTTTTTTGACAAAATTATATTTTCTTTTCTGGTTCAACTTTTTCACTGTAACTTTTACTTCTCTCAGTATTTATTTATTTTCTCTAAAAAGTATATGGCGAATTGGTTTTTATCACTAAATTTTTTTCTCACTATAATTTTTCTTTCTCTTTCTAATTTTTTTTTTCTTTAACATATATTTTCCTCTCAACTTTATTCTTTTTCTCTAAAATTGGTCTCTTTTTGTTTTTAACTTTCCTTTTACTAATTTTTTTCCTAAATCTTTTTTCTTTATCTCTCTAAAATTTATCTTCTAGAAGTTTATTTCATCTCTCTAAACTTGTATTTTCATGTCTGTACATTAGAAATACAAAAATTTCTACAGGATCGAGTCTCCACTTCAAGAATAGGAAATGCATGTCACAACTCCGTTTCTGATTCAATTTTTTATTGACATATTTACTAGATTGTGAAATAAATATTAAATATTTTTTAAAACTAATTATTTATACTAGTAAATAATAATTCTAAAAATACTTAATACATATTTATTACACTTTTTATTTTTTAAATTATAAAAATAATTAAAATTAATTATAAAATCAGTAATTTTTCCGCGAATATACCAGTTGGCAAATAAAGATT